ATTATACTTAGCCTTTCAAAGGACGATCAACTGGTGGGAATTATTATACTTAACCTTTCAAAGGACGATCAACTTGTGGGAGTGGTAATTATTATACTTAACCTTTCAAGAGAAGATCAACTGATGGGTGTGGAAATTATAATACTTAACCTTTCAAAGGACGATCAACTTGTGGAAGTGGGAATTATTATACTTAACCTTTCAAAGGACGATGGTACGTTTCCTTCAACTTAGCTGTTGGCTGTCTAGAGAAGCCATGGATAAAATCTAATGTACTCAACCCCGTGGAGCGGATGGTGTGAGGGCCCTTGGTCCTCACCCATAACTTCCAGGGTCCAGGAAAAGGGTCTTTGATATTCACAATGCTCACATTCTTCAAGTTTAGAAGGTTGTTCAACCCTTCTGACAAGCCTACATCTCGACCTATACGTGTGAAATGAGATTATATGAACAACATTTGACAGTATTATAGAACAGAATGAGGATCAAATTTACTTGTATAAAAACTTTAATATTCGTTACTGGTTACAAAGGAACTTAGAACTTGCTTTAGGTAATAACGTTTACTGTTTTCAGTAATAAACAGAAACGTATCAAAAATAGAATTAGTATTTCTGTAATACAATACTAAAAGTAGGGTTAAGTAACTAACCGCTTGGATCTACTAGGGTGATTTCTGGAGTGTCACCAGAAACAGATACTGTAAACTCTCGAAGAGTTGAGTCCACATCAAAGTCCACCTCCGTGACCTGACTTAGGCTACGGTCAATGGCTAATAAGTTGACCTTTCGAGCTTGTAGAGAAACCCGCACAAAATTCAAAACCTACAAATTCAAAAATATATAAATTAACTTTGCTTGTGATACAAAAATAAGTGAATAAATAACAGAGAAGATTTCCAAACTGTACGACATTCATTCAAAGATATAACTGAGGGGGTTTCTAGAGGGGGCTTTTAAAAAGTTTTAACATATTTTATTATTTCTGATTTAGCGTCATTTCTCCGAAAGTGGACCGAAATCCGCCTGGAGGGGTCACCTGTTTTAACCACTCGCACCACTACACAGTAGTGTGTTGTCTGTCAGTCAGTCAGTAGACATTAAAATGATGTCACATAAGGGACGCTTAACGTTTCAACTTGTACTGCTATGGCATCAGTAAAACGTGCGTATGTTATGAATCACGAGAAGAATTATGCACTCTGTAGGCTAAAACACAGCGTGACATATGAACACAGAAAGAAATAAATAAAAATATTTGCTTTTAAGTTTGGTTATTTTTATTCTTGAAACACAACGCTTTCGGGGATCCTGCACAAGTACATATTTCATATATATTTATTTCATCAAATACAGATCTGGTTTCATCTTATATAATATATGATAACCTATCTTGGAAACTAAATGGAAACATACAAAATCTGTATTTACCTCGTTCACGTCCGATTTTTTCAGGTGAAAAATTTGACCAGAACTGGTGGATGCAATTTTTTCATACGACTGATACCCCGGATGTGAGTGATTGCCACAGTCTCCTGTCATGACGAATACCACCTTCACATAAAAAGTTAATTATCATCACAGTTTGGCTGCGTGGAGTGTGTGTGAACAAAACACGTGACAAAAAGTAGTAAAAATCAGTTCTAGAAGTTTGATAAAGTCAACCACGTACCAGTTTCAAAGAAACGTGTCAGGAAAAAAAAAACAGGTTTCCGGTATATTGACAACGTCAGGTGTTTACTGGGCTATATTTAAATATGGAAGTACTCATATCATCACAATCACAATTAATCAGTTACGAACTTGGAGGTTACTGTATTATCATAGTAACTAATGATCAGTTAAACTTGGAGGTTACTGTATTATCATGGTAACTAATGATCAGTTAAACTTGGAGGTTACTGTATTATCATAGTAACTAATGATCAGTTAAACTTGGAGGTTACTGTATTATCATGGTTACGTTTATTGTTTGAATCTAACATCGTTTATAACAGGTTATAAAAACTAACACCTTAGTGTCTGAATCTGTGGACTGGTCATAAAAATATTAAAAAAAGTTCCTTAAAAGTGGCGTTCAAGACCTTATGACTCAGTAAAGTGATGTTTGGACGTCGATCCTTCAACATCAACCAGTAAAATGTTACACGTGAAAAAGACACAGGCCTAATGACGTCAATACTGACGTACGTCTTCCCGAAATGATAAGTTTTACTTTCTTAGAAATTTAGTACATGATTTTTATCAACGCTGAGTCTTCTGAAACGGCCTTATTGGAATGAAATTTAAATAAGAAATGCTTATTATCGAATAAGATGGATAAAATGAGCTATGTTTAAGTTCCAAAGCCACGTTTTTCTTGTTTCTGAGGCCCACTATGTGACACTATAGTCATACTGAGTGACGGAAACATAACGAAACTCGAGAAGGTTATGCTAAAGACGAGTGTGTCTCCAAGGTCTTTCCGATACATGTTTGAAAGTTAGCTACAAGGATTGGATAATTATATATATGTATATAATATATGAGGCAGATTGTAACGTGAAACTTTCTGAGTGTTAAGTGCTAGTTAAGTTTGTAAAATATAAAATATCTATTGACTGACTTTGGACTGTATTAAAATAAGTATATCTGAACGAGTCTTTACCTCGGAAGTATCAAGATAATATGGAATACAAAACAGTATTACGATTTGTCTTATTCTTATGAAGCTTTACATATCAAGTAATTATTTGTCTCGTGACAAGTCAATAAAACCAGTAAATATTTTAACCACATTTTTACCTGTAGCAATTACTACCGTTATTACTATGACCTTATCTGTAGGAATTACTACCGTTATTACTATGACCTTATCTGTAGGAATTACTACCGTTATTACTAGGACCTTATCTGAAGGAATTACTACCGTTATTACTATGACCTTATCTGAAGGAATTACTACCGTTATTACTATGACTTTATCTGAAGGAATTACTACCGTTATTACTATGACTTTATCTGTAGGAATTACTACCGTTATTACTATGACCTTATCTGTAGGAATTACTACCGTTATTACTATGACCTTATTTGAAGGAATTACTACCGTTATTAATATGACCTTATCTGTAGCAATTACTACCGTTATTACTATGACCTTATCTGTAGCAATTACTACCGTTATTACTATGACCTTATCTGTAGCAATTACTACCGTTATTACTATGACCTTATCTGAAGGAATTACTACCGTTATTACTATGACCTTATCTGTAGCAATTACTACCGTTATTACTATGACCTTATCTGTAGCAATTACTACCGTTATTACTATGACTTTATCTGTAGCAATTACTACCGTTATTACTATGACCTAATCT